CAAAGAGCGGCGCTCTTCCGCCGCACCGCCTGCATAAACAGGGCAGTGGCCAAGAGTGTCAGGTGCAGTTAAAATGCTCCTGCCTCCATCTCCCCTTTTCCACATCTTCGCTGCAGGCACGCAGAGAGGAGACAGCGTTCCACCACGTCCAAACAACGCCGCAGGAAGGCTGCTTGAGCCTCCACCAGGCCACATTACTTGCACGCTCTCCGCTCTCGTCTACGCGGCCTCGATTGACGAAGGAGGCCTTCCGACCCTCGGCACCGCTTGTCAGATGCTGGCAAGCGCTCAACGGCAGACATGTCAACGTTCATTATTGCTCACCCTAATATGCCAGCTCTCTTGTTTTTCATGGCGAGCTATCGTGTTTTTGTGGAAATACACTGATTAAAAAAAATCCATTAAGAATAAAAATAAGATCTTCTCTGAGCCATGAAGAGGTCTCTTATTTATCAGAGTTATTGAGGAAGTGAGTGACTGCTTAATAACACAGAGATGTGCCATTCTGCTTTACGTTCACCACAAAAAATGGCTGGAGAGGAAGTCTGCGGAAATTCTGAGTCGACTTTGGACGGCACGTGCGGCGAGAATTCTCCGTGGCATAAATAAATTCCCAGCTGGCATTTGTGAAGCTCTGATCCCTCCTCTGGAAGCGTCCCCGAGTCAGGGAATGATCCTCCTCCCAGCGTTAGCAGTTCAATAATAACTTCAGATGCTCTGTTCCAGGTGTTTGTTGGTTACATCCTCAGCCAAACCGTTCTGCTCACACTGTGCACCGCAGTTTCCAAATGTGCGGAATAAAATGTTCTTTACTTGATTGTGAAGGTCACATAAGCAGGCGGCTTGTTATGGTGCATTCTGTGTTCCCAAATGCACACGGGCATGGGTTAAAATCCAATGTGCAGTCAAATGAGGAAGTTTGCTGGACAAAAATCAGCAAAATTTGGCATATCACCAACGACGAAAAAACAGTTAGTTGTGAAATGGTAATGTTTTTGATAATATCTGGCAAAGCTCCAATGCACGGATGCTCCCCCGCCCCCATCCCGCATGTAAAGGCAGCATGGCTCTGAACCTGCAGTGGGAGGAGGGCGAGAATACCCCCCCGCCCCCCATCTAACAGGAGCCCACGACCCTCCCTCCCCACATGGCGCTCACACTGCCGCCATGGTCGGGAGAGAAAAAAAACCCAACTCAGTTGAACTGCTGATGAAACCAGGTGTTGACAAAACCAGGTGCACGGCACTGTCGCCCTCCTGCGGGGAACAGGATCGACCATTTCCCAGGCACTGCCGCGTCAAGGTGGACGATCAGCTTGGTGAGGTGGCGCACGAACGAGCCAGGGAGAGAGGGGGAGCGCGTTAGTGCTCGCGTGTCGCGGGGCGTGCCAAGCGGCCGTGCAGGTAACCCGATCCAGCTGCTCCCACCGCCTATTGTTTTGCTTTTCGTGTGACCTTTGCGCCCAAAAGTGGGGCGCTTGGCCGGATTTTTGGGAAAATACGCTCGGAGGCTTTCTGCGTGATGGATTTGTCTCGCGCCCCCCGAGAACAGCCAAAGCTCCACAGCCACCTGGGCAACAAAACGGTGCCTGGTGGACTCCACCCAGCCTCCAACTAAGAGCAGCACTCAAACTGGACGAGCAAAACGCATCGAGGGGAGAGGGGCACTCTTCCAAAGAACGGGCAAGAGGATTTGCCTCATTGAAATAAACGAAATTATATCCAACACTTTGACCCGTGGATATTCTTTCAGATCCACGCACCGCAGCAACATTTGTTTAAAACACACAAATTTGGATCACTTTCAACTTCGCCGAGTCCCATTGGCAAGGAGCGGCACTAATGCTATCAAGAAAACCCGTTTTTTTATGGACTCGAGCCACCGCACCGGCAAGTCGCAGAAGTGGCGGTGGTTTTCCGTTGAAACGATCTGTCACCGCGCGAACGCGTCCATGCGGGGAGCGTCACGGCGAGCACGAGCGATCACGCAGGCGGCACGGGAAGGTCGCACGCGAGTCTCTCCCGGCGCTCCCAAAGCACGCCCGGGTCCCGCGCGTCCGTGCGCTCTCGCGCGCGTCCGTGCGCTCTCGCGCGCGCCGCTGAAAGGCCGAGCTACCTCTCCGCTCAACCAGAACCGAGCCATACGTCGGTAGCCACTCGATCATTCTTTACGAACGGAAAGTCTTCTTTTTTCACTTTCTTCTTTTCATTTGGAAAAACATTCCAGTATTCAAATCCCAACACGAAGAAGCACCGCAGTATTTTTTTTGCGGATATATTTTTTACTTGACTTTAAACGTGCATAATATTTTCACACTTTTTTGCCGATTGTGTAGCATAACAGACACTAGTATTTGTTATATAATGGATATTTTACTTGTGGAAGATTCCTCGGTGCAATTGACTCTACGTTGGTAGATATGTCTCTCTCTTTTTGTCTCTCTCTCTCTCTTTGTACCTCTACCGTGTCTTTCCTTGACAAAGAGTGTGACAGAGCCGGGTGCTGCAGGGTCTCGGCTGAGATGTCGCAGCAGCTCCAGACACAGCGAGGTCCAAACGCCGGTGTCTCAGCACCGAGCTCCGAGTGGCCTCCGCAAAAGTAACCGCACTTCACGAACCTCTCCTCCGCTCGCACCTCAACCACTAAATTAAGGCAGAATTCACAGCTGCCTTTGTCTTCCCGCATCCTCCTAACACCTGAAAGATCAGCGATTTACACAGCTGTGGATGATCGGGACTGGTGGTGCCATGGCTCAGCCCCCGCACGTCCACAGCAAGTTTCTTACTGACGACCCTCGACCTCGCCGACGACCCTCGACCTCGCCGACGACCCTGGCGGGGAGCAGCTCTTCCACGTGGCAAATCTCACCGAGAATCCTGCCGTTCACTCCCTCCCCCCTCCCACCACCCACCGCCGTCCCCCGTCCCTGCTGCTGATAGATTTTGGGTCACAGCGCGAACGTGAGATACCAAGAAGAGAGGCCGAGAGACGTCTCGCATGGCAACCCTCGGGATGTGAGGATAGGAATTTATTTGGCGAAGAAAAAGGGGGTTGCTTATTTGTTAATCCAAGAAGCTTTCAAGAGATTCCTACTTTGGGCCAACATATCAAAATGTTGTGTTTGCCTATTTTTGTATGTGCGAGGAAAACCGGAGTGTGTGGAGAGAAAACAAATGCGTGTGAAGAGATGACGCCTCAAATGCTGCGCAGGTAAATCGGCAACTGATTTGCTGCACTGCTTTCAAGCGTGAAAATATTTGCACGTGCATGTGGGTATCTCTCAAGCAGGAGATCTGAGCATAATCCAGCAACCTTGACCCATGGTCCATGGATGATGAATGTGCACCAGTTCGCTGGGCAAAGATGAACATAGACACTAGTTTTATACGTTTGAATAAACACTGGAAAATACATATGCAAGCAACAAAGTGAACGTTAATGTGCCTTAAATATAACCTTTTTTTTAACAGAGAAAAGTCTATGGCATGGTGCTGACAAACCAAGGCGTAATTCTTTTGCAATAAAACTGACTCTGTCACCTATAATGGAGGCCAAAGTTGGCGTAAAATGAGAACCAGCCATCTGGCTGCGATTGCTGGACTCGAAACACAAGGAAAAGGATTTAATTCCTGGCTCTGACGTTTTGCATAACTTTCACTGCGTGCCAGTAAAAGCTAAGCCACAACGCAAGCATTCAAAATTTATCCGAATTTTTTTCATCTTCCAAAAAGAGACGTACAATCGTAAGAAAATAAGAACACCAACCCCCTGGACTTGCAAGGTCTCGGACAAATGACTTGTTTATTGTGCAGAACAATGCCAAGGTAACCTGGTCTTTAATCACCATCTCCCTCACTCATGGGAGAGAGATGGCGGTGCACGCGCTAGTCCTCTCATGTTGGCCGTCTCCCAGACAAAGTGGATTCACGATCTGTCCTGCAGTGGCTCAGAGCTCGGGATAAAGGCCACAAATACACACACTGAGTGGGGCCTCCTGACAGCAGCTGCCCCCTCAATGAACCAGCCTCTATGCGGCCCAAGAGCCGAAACCAGATGTGCTCTGGCTGTAAAGGCACGGAGGCTTGATGTGCAAAACTCAAGAGAAGGTGCTCCTCCTGTCGACACTTCACAGTGCATCCTCTTCAGGCCAGTGCGTTGGCCGGCTGCACTTTCAAAAGTCAACATTACACGTGGAAAAGTTGACTTCGAATGTGGTTTGTGGGAAAAAATGTCAATGAACGTCTTTTGCTCGAATTCAAAAGAAAGCGATTTAAGCAAGTAACCTGCAATTTAATCCATGCTTACAGGATTTGTTGGACTTAAGAGCAGTGGGACGGAAAGTTGGTCAGGAATCAACCCAATCAGCCCTTGGCTGCTGTTAGCCATCTCACTGCACGTTTTTCAGAAGCACCGACTGATTTTTCTTCTGGGTGCGGAGTATTAACTCCCGCCATCACCCGCTCACCTTCTCACCATCCCTGCAGTCTCCACCCACCATCCCCACCCTGAGCAATTCCTTCCCACTAACCTGACCAGAACCCCCCGCCCCCGCCTCCTCCTCCTATTGCCAACTCCACAACACCCCTATCGCTGCACCCCTGGCCGGGGCCCCATCATGGATGGGTCGCACACAAACACGACGGCTCTCTCTCGCCCTCTCCCTCTTCCCTTGCCCACTCCCCGAACCTTGTGGCCCGGCGGCCTGGGGAGTTGGGTGCCGCGCGGTGAAACGAAGCGCAGCGGTGTTTTGGGAGTGCGTTGCTCACCACGCTCGGCGCAGCAGCACAAAGGCTGTACAAACACCAACGGGGCATCGAACACGCCAGCGGGCACCGCCACCGCCGGCGCTCAGTTTTTTATTTTACACAAACACTCGCCTCCTGTTGGCTCTGCGCGTGTTTATGCGTGCATATCGGTGGAATTCATCGCCATTCACTCTTAAGCCCCCCCCCCCTCCCACCATTCCCTGTGCATGATCATTTAAATAGAATGACACTCACCTGAATTAAGGAGAGGTTGGCCAGGCTGAGTCTGAACAGATAGTTCCTAGAAAATGGATAAAAAACAACTGTCAACGTTACTGAAACTGGTAATTAAGCACGTTATGTAAGCGTGTGTTTGTTTGTGTATTTGTCAGAATCTGCTCTGCTAGTGTTGTGTTTTTTACTGAAAAAAAAGGTTAACTTCGGATCTAATCGGGCACCTACACTTTTACCCCACCACAAGCAGTATGCCAATCGGCTTGCCATGGTGTGACCTTAATACTGGGAAAGAGGCAGAGTCAAGAAGGAGTAAATGGCTCAAGATTTCAACCGCACCGTAGCTGGGAGCACAGTGTGCCACCTTCCACGACTACAGAAACCCCACTTAAATGTTCCCTACTGCCATGAGATCTCCAATAAAAATTGAACATCTGAAAAATATAGCAAAATGTAAATGAAACGTCGCATTCCCGCCTTTAAATTTAATACCTCACCACTGCTGCGGAAACAGCGACGTTCAAAACGGGAGACGCTATGAGCAGGACTCCAATATTAGTGAGGGAGTAAGCTCCAGAAAAGACCACGAACAACATGTTATTTTCACCATTGGAACCTCATTTGCCAGTAAAAAAAAATATGATAATTGGTTTTTTACCCTTCTATCTGGCAACAAAACTGACACCTTTTTTACAAGGAGTCATGTGTGAGACTAGGCTCTAAGGAAAGCTGTCTCGGGTGTGGACCAATCAACTTCAAGGACAGTGCATATATTATCAGAGTTGTGTTTTTTGTTTGCATTATGGCTGCAGGTATTGTGGTCTATGCAAACATGACTCCTTGTAAAAAGGGTGTCAGTTTTTCTGCCAGATAGAAGGGTAAAAAAACAATTATGACATGTTATTTTATCAAGAAAAAAGCAGCTGTGCAACAACCACGATTGCGGTGCTACTTGCAGCATGGACAGGCCACCCAGGGTCTCGGGGTGGGTGGTGCAGCCCCGGTGCTCGGTGGTGGGGTCCCGGATGAGGCGTGATGGAAATTCGCGGTGTGATGGGGCCACGAGCCTAAGGTCAGCATTACCTGGCCCCCACAATGAGCTGGGCGCGGGCAGAGTCGATCGTCAACTGGGAGTAGTTGAGGGCAGCGGGGAAGGTGAACTCGTGCAGCCACGGAGCCAGATCTGTGCACAGCAGGGGGTAACAGGGGTCAGGGCCCCGAGTGTGGGTGGGAGCAGAGCATGTCAAAAGGAGCAAAGAACCAGCACAGAGGGCTCAAGACTCGAGTCATTAATTTTTTTTACTTTTTAACTCTAACCTCTAAAGATGCTTTGCGAGACACGTGGAGAGGTCACAATCTTGGGTGAAGGAAAGGTGGTCGTGTGTCGAGGCAGATCGTGCGGCACCAGCGATGTTTCATGTTTATCCCCTCCCAAGTAAACGGAGCACAGAGTAGACACATCACCGTGATTTACATTCCTTGGATGGAATTTCTGAAAATGCCAAAAATGTGCGCCACACTTCTGACCCTGCGTATGCTTCCCACCTCCACGAACAAGGCTTGCGGTTTTGTTCTGTGTGTGTACACATTAACACACATACCCTGCCACGCGTGCTGGGCAGTGGACCATAAGGCAAAAAAAAAACCCGAGTGCGTCATTTCCATGCGATATCTAAGTTGAACATCAGAGAGAACGCACGCATGCAACCCGGCAATGCCCAGCCTCAACGGGGAGGCCCGCGGGGGAAGGAGGACTGCGCTCTGCATACTTAGAACCGAGAGAAACTGTGGACAGTGGCGCTGTAAGTAAAACACAAACTGAAACAGCGAAACACATCGAGTGTTACTTTCACTCGGACATTTTTGTTTGTGCACGAAATCTGGAAGCAATCACCTACAGCTGCAAAAGCTGGTCTAAGAGAGAAAAAAAATACTAATTTTGATCCAACCCCCTTCCCGGAGTGTGGTAAACTGTTCCAGAGGGGGCTTTCTCACCTTACGACAGCCTCCTGCTCACAACTCCTTTGGTGAGGCCGAAAAAGGGCCCCTCATCTACCCCCCTGGTCTGCCACCAACATGCCACGGTATATAGACAAGACAAGAACAGAAACACATTACGCCCTGTTGTGCAGCGGTATGGGTAAAATCATGTTGAAGCTAAACTCTGTTCTTTCTGCACATAAAAACTGTGTATTAGTCCATCGGTCTATTGGGCTTTCGAGACCGATATCACCCAGCGGAATTTGCTTCAGCAATAAATTGCTAACAGTTGGGCGAAGGCATTGTTCTCCAAGGCTCCGACGGCATCACAGGGCGCCACTGGTTGTGACTTATTGCACAGATGAACATATCAAGGCTGTGCCCACACCGCAGTCAATCACCGACGTTTGATGCGTCCGTTTATTTGACATTAAATACATCCATGCCAAACACTGGTTCCCCCTAGAATTATATATACACACACACACATGTGTGTTTGTTGATGGAATAAATAGTTTCAGCAAGGATGGGGTGCATTGGGATTTCTGGGAAAATGAAGCTTTGGCCAATAATCCTCCTGGGAAACTAGCTGGTAAACACACAGTGAGCGGAACGACTGCACGCAAAGGCGGCCATCACTCCCCGCGCGCGCTTAAGCGAGGCGCGGTGGCACGGGACCCACGATCCGTGCCAAGCGTGTCTTCCCCGCGTGACACGCGATGCTCCGAGTCGAGAAACGACGATGACAGGAGCACGGAGGCCCCGCAGCCACCGCGGCCACCGCGGCCACCGCGGCCCAGGTCGCTTTGTGCTCTGACACGGCAGAGTGTAAACTGAGACCCTCACTCCTGCAGCGATAGCATCAAACGGCTGCTCCGCTCCAACCCACCGCAGCCGTGGCTCACTCGACCGGCCGCCTGCCTCCGGGGCTCTTGTTTGAAATCTATGCTCCATTAATTAATGAAACGCTGCATGTGCAACCCATCACTCCCATTTAGTGGGTTTAGTGCCCACGGCGAGAAGGTTGATTCCACGCGGGCAGCTCAAACGTGGAATCTTCTGACATTACGGAGCTTCCGATATGAAGAAGCCACAGGAGCTGTGCACATGTAGATTGAAAACTCATTTCATTTAGTAGTCTGTTGTCCTTCCCCCCGCAGCTCCGTTTGGCGTGGTTGGCTATGTACGGTGCGATAAAAGTTCAACATACATACATACCAACAGGCAGCTTTCATATAGCGCTCGCTACTGCACAACATGCCTGGGATGCTTGGCACAACGGGGCAAGCCAGGGGGGTCTAGAGGCGCTGCGTATTTACCGCATAGGGAGAAGCTGCCTCACGGCTCTATAACTATGACAGATGACTGTCCATTGATACTTTAATTCAGTTTCTCGCAGACTCAATTAAGAGTTTGCTTCTTGTTTTGATTTAAAGCTTTCGTGACTGCAGGGATTCATATTCTTGGTTCTTTTGGTAAAGTCGAAACGTCGTGAGAATGTTATTGTTTTATATTTGTATTATTGTATTGTTTCCCTTCTACGTGACTTTACCGAAATAACCAAGAATATGGTTTACTTCTTGTTTATTTTATTATCCATTGCTTGTGGGATATTTCCTTCACGTCACCCATACGGCGTTAAATAAAGAAAAGAATGCTTAGTGCTCACATTGCCACTGTGCCGTTTCAACGGTTTATCTCTCTCTCTCTTGTTATTAAAAGTGAGTGATTGAAGACGCGTTTTAAGTAGGCGCTGAGTGTTTAAGATCCACACCGCTGTCTACTCCCAGCCACTTGTCTTGCTGCCACCCCTAAAACCGAATCATTGTGTCGCGCTGGAAAGTACACTTCCATTTAAAGGGGTTTCTGCAGACCAGGGATTTACACCCACTCGGTTCCAATTTCCCTCTTATGTCTCAAGCACCAGCTTAATGACCACCGCAGCACGAGCCAGATGTCCCGCCTCTCCACCCCGCGACCTCACTTTCTGCAGGCAGTTCTCACAATTAGCACTTCACACATGAGCTGGCCGGGGCCAGTCTCACCGCCAGCGCTTGAGTGCCACTTGTTTATTTGTGTCAGTAAATTCCCGAAACCAGATGTGTCCGCGGGACTCGTACGTGCGTGTGTGCGTGCAGCAGAAGTGCCCGTGGCTTTACGACTCGCTCGAGGTACGGCGGGTCTGAGTGCGGGGAGTCTGGCAGCAGCGATCGCACTGACACCTCCGTTGAGCGCAGCTCCTAGAGCAGCTGTAGGCCTGTTGTTGTTTTTCGCTCGGAATATGAGTAAGCCAAATTGTTTTGCTGTGCTGCATAAACAGTTTATTTTCCACAAATAGTTCTTCATAACGAAACAACGGGCTCTTATTAGATGCATGACGATCACAAGACAGGGCTTGAAAAATGACTTTGTGTTCCTTTAAGCCAGACACATCCACAACGACCTCCCTCTGTGTTCATCGCCAACACAAGCGCCACCCAGTAATCAGCATTACATGATTTATTTCTGTGCAATAATCAGAGTAGATAAAATGTTTTAAATACTCAACGTACATGTTCAAAATAAAGCCTCAGTAATCATGAACAAACACTGCATTACAACTAAGGATATTGCCAAGCTAATACTTTTGCAATGATCCTCCTTCAGAACAAAGAGACAGGGAAATTATATTTTTTTACTGACGATTACAAATGCCATCCCAGAAAAACAAATCAAATCTCCTTCCTGTCTTCTCTCAGCTATAAATCACAACCAGTGCCTACAACATTGTATTACTGCACAGCAGGTAAATATCAAAGCAGGATGATATTTTTGAATTAGAGGAAAAGTAGATCTTGACATTTCAGCTGATGGGCCTTCTGGACAATTATAGTTGATAGTGGGACTTCAAATGCTTCAAAAGACGAGTGACCATTTGAGAAAGACAGCTGTCGTAGTACACTTGAAAATACATTTTCTGAACTTCGTTTCGTGCGAACCAGTTTCCAGATACACAAAGCATTGAGTGAAGGTTGGGCAATGTTGAGTCATTGTTTGGTAAAAAATATTGGGACTATGTTTGGTCAATTTTGATACATTTTAGGCCAATGTTGGGAAAATCTCAGGCCAAGTTGAGTCAATACTAGGCCAATGTTTGGTAAAAAAATAGGCAATGTTGGGTAAAGGTTTACACAACTTTGGGCCAGTGCTGGGTCAACGTTCGATCAGCGTTGAGTAACGTTGGGTCAACACCACCCATTTCTGTCCCAACACCAGTAATAGCCTGGGCCCGACGCAGGTGAGCGAGTGTTGGCTGGCTGACCTTGGTGTGCCGTGCGCGGGTGCTCCTTGCGCGAGCACGAGCCGTCGTGCGTGTCCCCCGGCGTGACCGCCATGGCGCCGAGCACCAGCGCCACACGCACGAACGACGTCGCCTCCACCCAGCGGCACCATCGAAGGCGTGACGTTCCCAACAGCTCCATTATGGCGGCGGTGGCGGCGGTGTAAGATCTCGCACGTTATAGCCGCTGCCCGAACATTGTCCGTGCCTTCGCTGAGTCCTCGCCGAATCTGCCAGGGGGCGAGGCGACGAAACGAAATGATGAGAGAAGAGTTGTCACGACAATAAGTGGCGCTGAATGTCTCCGTTTGCCTAGGTTGCGGCAACCGTCCGTTGGCGTTGGCGTGCACAGTGAGATGTGTTTGGTGGCGTCACGGTTGAAATTACCTCACCTGGTCTAAACTCCAAATTCCTGAGGGTTATAAAAATGACACCATGACCCATGTGTGTGCCGGGGTGTCACTAACTTTTATCAGCACCGCCTCAGTGTGGCCATCACAACACAGCATTAATCACTTGGCGCTGCCATGAGTTGTTTACTTGAGTTAAACATTAATCATGGGGCTGCCAACCAGACTAGACGAAAGCTCTATATATAATATTGCCTTTGTCGCACGGATTTAGTGTTTGTGAAAACGGCATTGTGGGTGACAGAGAGTCTAAAAATATCAACACTCCGATAACATAAACACAACACAATTTCAATTGTGAAACATAAACCGTGAAACACTGTTAGCAAGAACTCCACCAATTGTGCGGTGTTTTAGCGACCATTTCTCATCCCACACGCAAGGAAATGAGTAACACCACTCCACCCACCTGCAATTCCACTCCACCCACCTGCAATTCCACTCCACACACAAACACACCTCCCCGACCATGTTCACTTATGATCTCACCAGCCTCGATGACGCAAAGTGTCTGCTACTGGCCTCCTAGATCGCATCCACGGCGCTGTGTGCGGCGTACGGGGTTTCCCTCTTGGCCGTGTGGTGATTACCCACAACACAATTTGGCGTCCGCTTGCTTGACAACTGCAAGTTCATGCGTGGGGAGGGGGGCACAGGGGCCTTGCACAGAGGCCGATGCCACGGAGAGAGGGACCCGAGTCCACGCCGTGAGCGTCGCTCGGCAGTGCAATGTGCATTCCAGCGGATCAAAGGCCTTGCTCCGCATGTGGGGGGCCACAGCGAGGCCCCCCCCCGCCCTCTCAGAGCCCACACAACCGAAACCATTAACGCTGTTTATTTCCCCTCGCTCTAGCGCACAGGCCTCTCACGTTCCGAGCAGATTCGCTGGCAATTTAGAAGAAGAAGAAGAAAAACCCAGCAAACAAATCAGAGCCGCCGTGCGCACTACAAAAATGCTGACCAATCACAACTTACACCTAGTCGAGTGGCAGAAGAACAACTTTTTTAGTTTTTTTTTGCATGCAGCCAGGCAATATAACACTACAGTCTACCCCTTCATTGCAGGTAGAAATTGACTCTCCACAAGTATTTATTGTCAATTTGCTGAGCAAGTGGTCATGGCTTACAGTTGAAGAATTTCGCTGCGGGAATAAAGTTCTGGAATTCAACTGCGTGGTAGAGCAGTGGCTCAGCCATGAGCGAGCGGCACTGCGCTATCAATCCTGCAACCGGATTTCGATTCTCAGCCATGGCTTACACATCAGTGGCTCGTGATATCCGAACTAGTCCTGCCCTGCCAACTTAATATCCACCATCCCACACTGATCAGTGTGATGTACACATTATTAATTCAACTATAGTTGACCAGGTACTCGAATTTCTACCCGATTTCCTGCTCCGAGAGCCAGCTTGCGAGTTTGAGCCTTGGCTGGGCCTCCTGGGAGACACCCCATGGACCGAGCTGTCCCTGTGCCATCGAGCAACCCCGCTTGCCACGAAGGCTCTCGCTCGTGTCCTTGCCGGGGGGTCATCATCTGGAAAGAGTCTTAACGAGCGGGGACTGGACCTTGCGCCTCTCTTATCAAAGCACCCCGCGCCGTAGCCTGCAGTCGGGGGTGAATGATGACATATGGCAAACGGCTTAGCGTGTGCTCGACTTCTCAGACGCAATGACGCATTTTGCAGAGGGCAATGACGCTCTGAGGAGAAGAACGCCAGATATCTGTGAGTAAGCGTCGCCTGATCCCCTACTAGTCAGCAAACAGACAGCGCCAGTGCAGTAAATTCAACGAGAAGGCCTCGCCGATGTGATCGCAATCTGCCAGTGGCCCAGCAGCTCCGGGAATAGAGCACGGCTACAGCTTGGCCACTCTCGTCGCCATACTTGGTGAAGGGCGAACAAAGAGGAAGACGCACGAACCGTCCCAGCGACTCCAGCCGCAGCAACCATTGTGTTTGGCATTTGACGCTAATTCCGGCAGAACTTTTGATATTCTTGAATGGGAGGCGGGGGGGGGAACTGTTGTTTGATTTGTATCATTGGTGATTGGCATGCCAGCTTGTATATATTTAACAACAGGTTTTACAAGAGAAAGGATTTAAGAGGTTGCCTGTGCCATTACATTTAAAAACATAACCGAGCGAAAGCTTTAGTGAAATAAATCAATTGCATGCCCCTCCCAGTACTTGCGTTAGCTACTGTATGTAGGTCAGTTCATTATTTACTGTATTGATTGCCTTCTCAATTGTTCCTGCTTTGAGCACGGTCACAAGTTTCTCATTTAAGATGTTATCACAAGTTGCCTTATGCATCTACGTATGTGGAACTTCTTTCGCACCATACACAGCCAACTATGCTCATCGGAGGTGCAAGAATGTGTGATTCATGATGTCTTAAATGAGACCTCGGTTAAAATGTTGTTTTTAAAAGTCACGGCAAAGCGCTTGCTTGCACGCTACGGCCACCCCCTCTGCGATCCGCGATTCCATTTCAGAGTTGGAGGCACTAAACTCCCAAAATCCTTTCGGCTGCTGTGTGATGCGGTACTAGCAATGCCCACCCAGTGGGCACCGTGCCCATGTCAATTGGGCTCTGGAGCTGGATCGAGAAGGGAGGCGAACGTGATTTGTGCCAGGCTTCCAGGCAAGCGCTCGCACACAGAAGGAGCTGCTGAAGAAAATGTCCTAATGTCTCATCGTTTTAGCTTCACGAGTGTTTGTTCTTGAAAATGTGTACTTCACCATTTTGTAATCTTTTTTTCTCATGTTTTGCAACAACATTCGAACGTGTTTGCCGTTTTGGTGCGCTGTGGTTGTTAAAACCCAAGGCCTTCCTTGAAGAAGAGACTTCTGCAGTAAATGAGTCCTCACTTGGCTCTCAACTCTCTCACCTACCCAAAGCTCTCAACTGCAAAGACACAAGCGGCATGTTGGATTAAAATGCAGCATGTCGGTTGGTGACATATCCATGTAGAAACTTAGTACTGTACTCTCCCCCTATATACTACGTGGATTCCCCAGCGACTCACACGTCCTATAATATTAAAAAACATATCTATTTGGATTAACCGTCCAAAAATGAACCTTCCTAAGAAAGCCTGGGTAAGACTGGCCAGGGAAAACAACTAATTAATTACATATCTGCTACCACAGTTACGTGCCACTGTTTGTTCCCACTATCTAATGTCCATCTGCGATGTCCCTATCCCTGTCAGTCGATCTCCCAATCCACCTCCAGGGCTGCTCACGCCAGCTGGGAGTGATTTGCCAGCATTGGCTGCCGGGGGGGGGGGGGGTGGAACGGAGATGGCAAGCAATTTTTTTCTGTAATTCTCCCCACAGGGTGCTCGCACAGCAGAGCATCATGAGAACCGAGCCACTACAGGCAGGAGAAGAGGGGGTTACGTGGCTGGCTCAGAGGGATGGAGTCGAGAATGACGGGGGGGGGGGGGGTAGAATTGTGGAGGTGGAGCGCGTGGTGAGAACCGGCGAGCACCGGCGAGATTTGGCGCAAATGAACTGGCGGTGAGAGAGAGCGAGCGGGTGAGCTGGGGCGACCAGCGGGTCGGACATAATGGAGGGTGGAGGGGTGGCGGGAGGCGGGGGGCAGAGTCCCAGGCCGAAAAGGGGTTCAAGTAGAACATTAACTTTTGTGTCTTAAGCCAGAGGGGAATACTTGGAAAAGACTGGCAGAAAATAGCGGCTCATTTCACAACCAGCATTCTGCACAAGACGCAAGGCCTCAGCAACATCTGACAAAACAACTTGCTCGATTCCTGCACGCGTCACCAGCAAACGCACTCTGCCGCCTCTTGGCAATACAATTTGCTAACGGCGGACTGCGACCCGATTTAATGACCTCCGTAACTCAGCGAGGTGTCGATTAAGGCGGCGGTGTCGATTGGTTGCATTGTGCCAGTGCATCTGCCGTGGCCTGCCCGAGCCTTCTGCTCCACGGTGTCCAGGGCAGCTGCCTCCCCCCTTTCATCGGAGCGCGTCGAGTGGCGAAGTTCGTCTCGTCGCACTCTCATCTCTCTTGCTACGATAGCGCGCAACCCATGCACCGTGTGCTGCTCTCATGTTGCATCGTCACCCTCTTGGTGGGTGGTGGGGGGGGGGGGCACGGTGGTATTTAATCAAATTGTGTTCTGTAAATTTCCACCAGTGACGAAACCAAATCAGTGTAATATCAAACCACTGAACTTTAAACTAAAAATCTTGTCCACGTGTAAGTGTGCCTGAACTAGCAAAGCCGGTAATGGTGCGTGCAATGCATTACATGTACCGGACAATGAAGCGTGTATGTTTTTTTTTTACAAATTGTGGGGATGCGTTTGTGCTTTCTAGTGAATGCCTTGTGCAAGTATCAACTCGAGTGCACCGACCTGATCGCACGGAATCTAACGGAATGTGAACAGAGAGAGGGGCCATTCTGGAGGAAGGCTTTGGCAGGAATGTGCCGAATGAGCAGCAAATGAACCGCAAAGGGGAAAAAAATGCTCCCTCTTACAACACCCCGGCCCCGAGCTCAGCCGCAGCGCAGCCCCCTAGAGACACCACGATGGCTGAGTCTGGAGACCAGGCACTGGTTGAATTTCTCGAAAGCTTTCACGCACATGCAGGAGCGGGAGCACCACGTCATTATCCTTTTGCCAAACAGAGGTGTTCAATCGCGCCGGGAATTGGCGTAAATTGAATATGCATTTTAATCTATGAGAGCATGCGTATTTAAGCAGCCTCTTCAGACAATGAACTCGTTATGTCATTTTGTGTTTTGGTTATTGCTCGTCCCATTCACTCGACAGCTGATGAAAAACAAT